TTAGGTCTGAGAAAACAATGTCGGTTTTAACGAGGGCATTGCTCTAAACCCAGACAGTGACGTCACAAAATATTATTTATATTTACTCATGAAGTTTACAATAAACAAATTGGTCTTATTCATTTTTTTACACTTTTGGAATACACATAACATCACGCCTTTTATCCCAGAAGGGGTAGGTAAAGGTGCACAATATGGCACTTAACGCCTTTGTACAATGTTACACCCATTTCTCACTATATAAATTATAAATCCCGTGTAATAGGGGGTAAGCCTATTGCCATATACCGGGCACAATTCCAGACTCCGTGCTACTACTGAGATTTTATTTAAAACCCAGTAATACTTTTCCTGACCCGGGAATCGAACCTGAGACCCCTTGCCCGGCAGTCGCACACGGAAAAAGAAGAAAACTGAATAACCCTTTTGTTGAGTAAAACACGTGACATTGAGTGTAAATATTATTGACTCAAGCATAGGTAACAAGTAAACCTATTCAGACATGCTAACCTATTTGATAGAACCGCAAGTCCACCTACACCAATCTATCAATTATTTCACAGAAGTTTCGACTTTATATCAAAACAATAAAAGTTGAAATTCTAATAAAAAGAAAGGTGTAGGTTGACCCGCTGTTCACTGTACAATGACACACGATTGTCTATGCGTCACAACCGCATGCACGGATGACGAGTAGGAGGCAAAGATCAAATTTGCATCGACAAACAACAATAATAATATTAATAAATGTTTTCTTTTTACCTGAGACTGCCTCGTTGGCCGAGTGGTCGCAAGTGCGACTGCCGGGCAAGGGGTCCCGGGTTCGATTCCCGGGTCGGGCAAAGTATTACTGGGTTTTTAAAAATCTCAGTAGTAACACGGAGTCTGGAATTGTGCCCGGTATATGGCAATAGGCTCACCCCCTATTACATGGGACTCATAACATAAATAGTGAAAAGTGGGTGTGACATTGTATAGTGGCATTAAGTGCCGTAATGTGCACCTCTGCCTACCCCTTCGAGGATAAAAAGGCGTGATGTTATGTGTTATTTTTACCTTGTTGTCTTTACTTTTGATAGCTGAACAAAGTAAATTAACCAATGAGGATCCCTATTATACTATACTCTGATTGGTACAATCGTTTGGGCGAAAGGCTGATTGGTTTAATACCTTGGGAATTGTATGCCGTCAACCTTTGATAGTGCAGAGATGACAGTAGCAGATGATTAAGTAACCTTTATAAAAAAGGGCACCCGAGACGGACATATAGTGACCATATTGGCGATATAATAAACAAATTAAAAGTACCCTTAACCGACGAGCATGCATGAAAAGATTGATGACTGTTGATGAAGCGAAAGAGGTATGTAGGAATCGTATTAATTGGCGTTTACTAGTCTCTGTCTACCCCCATGGGAGACAGACGTGAAGTTATGTATGTATAAATAAGCAATGTATTATTAATTCCTGAATTTAATGATTTTTAATGCTAAAAAAGGTGTTGAAATTTGTGTTTAGGTTACATGATGACAAATGATACAGGAAAACTATAGTGTACAATTTATTCCAAAAGGATTCCTTGAATTAATATGCTAGCTGTTACAAGTATATTGTCTTTTAACAAAATCTACATTAATTTTTTTAACCGACTTCAAAAAAAGGAGGAGGTTCTCAATTCGACCGTATATATGCTTTTTTTTATGTTTGTTCGCCGATATCTCCGTTGTTTATGAACCGATTTTGAAAATTCTTTTTTTGTTAGAAAGGAGATAGTTCCAGAATGGTCCCATGATAAGGAAATCAGGATCTGATGATGGAAGACCAGGGAAACCGAGGGGAACTTTTAAACTGCGACTAGAGCATTAGTTAATTTTTTCATTAAGTATTATTAAAGTATATTAACTTAACCTAACATGAATATTTAATTTTTCAATAAAAGGTATCGTTCCAATGTTCTAATTTCACAAATGACGCCAATATTAAAGCTACGACTGTACCTTTGTAACCTAAATAAAAACTACTAATAAGCTACCAACAATTCGAATAGTTCGCACATACATTACCTCTCGACCGAAATATCAGGCATCTTGACCCGAAAACCGAACCGATTCTAAGTGCCCCTCTATAAATAAATCGTTGTTGCGTCGTAAATACGGAATTAAGACCTTTTCCTTAATCCTAAAGACGATAAGTCGATATAAAATGTTACTGCTTACATGGTATTTTATTTGTTTATATATTTGTAAGACAGCAGCATATCAAGATACACCCTTTAGCTATCGAACTTCATTGGATTTGCAACTTTAAATTAAAAGGTTAGAGTTCAAAATCAAGAAGACTAATTATTAAGGGGCTTGTATATAAACCTGAACCTTTAACTACCAATGTCTTCTCACCCGCAATGCGCGGAGATTATGACAAACCCCTTTTATGTAGAAGAGGTTCAATAGTCCAGCAGTGTACTGCTCAAGCGGTCACCAGTGACCGCTATCCACTTACTCCATTATAGACCTTATTTCTGATGTTTAGAGACTACTTTTGTATGAACAAATGTTGCGGATTTTTCATAATCGGGGATTAGAAGTTTTATTCAGTCGGTTATATTTTGTTAAGGTAGAACAATAATGAAATGTCTCCTCCACCCTGGGTGGGTCGGGAGGGAGTATCAGTATCTTACTGACAAAAAACCCTGTTCCAACTCTTAGTTCGAACCGGAGCCTCGGTAACCCTTGCGGTTCTCCGCAGCTCCGGTTCTAGGTATCAGTCATCACAGCTTATAAGTGGCTACTGCTGACCAAAGACATCTTCTCACATGGAGAAGATTTGATCATTAATCACCACGCTTGTTCAATGTGGGTGTGCGATTTCAAACTTATAATTAAAATTATAACCCAGGTTTCCTCACGATGTTTTCCTTCACCGTTTTTCAATGGTTCTGAATAATCTTAGGTTTTGTATACATGGGGCATAATTTCAGATATAGTAAAGTCAGAGAATGTCCAAAAACTGTACAGTTATCATTAAAATTATGTCCAGAATGATTTCCGTTTATTACTATAACATTTTGTGGTCATAGTTTTAATTAAGATTGGGTAATGACGTTCCTTATCAGGTTTTTGTGATGATGACGTGATTCTTTTAATAGGTGTTGTTGTAGAAACGTATTAAGAAGTTAATCTGGTTTGTTTTGAGGCGAAATATTGTTCTGTGAATAATATAATTATTGTGGATCTTTTTCCAAGAATGAGCTGACACTTCTTTTATATCATAAATGTGATCGATCATGGGGATGTATGTCAGTCTTTCAGGCTAAAATAACTAGGCAGATCGTAATGAAATTTGGCACAGAGATATAGGTTTATAGTCTGGATTAACATATTATAGGCTACTTTTTATTTTGGTATTACAACAAAGCCAGTGTAGGCTTATCGTATCTATATTACTACTTCCCGGTTATGTTATTAGGCCCTTGTATTAAGGCTTAGACTTTAAAGTTTATCGTTTTGACCATGAAGTCAGATATAAAAATTTAAAGATGAGTCCAGTGAATAATTGGTCAGGTACGGAAACAAAACATAAGACATAATGAGATTGGAACATCGCTGTAGTCCATAAGGCACTAGGAGAATGCCTTTGATCTCTTCATTTCATATATCCTTTAAAACTATAGAAGATTCTAGATAACGAAAGTTTCTTTAAAAAAAGAATGCCAAGATGATATTTTGTTCCACGTTTAAATATCTAGGCTTTTTTTTTTTTTTTTTTAAGGGGGGAAAATCATCGAATGACTGCTCCCGCCTGGGTGAGGCGGAAGGGAGTGTCAGACTCTTACTGACTAAAAACCACCCCGTTCCTTCTCCTGCACGTCGAGCCGGAGCCCCGGTTACCCGTTAGGTTCTCCGCGACTCCGAATCGGCATCGGCCCTATTGGGCCCCATCTGTGGTGGTCTGATGGCTCTTTGAGGCGCGCGCGGAACGCGACGCGCCGTACGCTCGGGTCTGTTTCTGGTCGGACGGGGAGCCACCCATGCTCGCCGTCCGCAGGCCCGCGCTTACGGTGGCCGGAGATCGTCCCGCGATCCCCGACGCCCGGTGTGTCCTTCGCGATGGCTGGGTCGCGAGGAGGCAGCGCTTCGCTGCCTCACGCGTCCCGCCTCCTCCTTAGCTAGCATGACTGCTTCGCAAAAGGAGGAGACGGCATCCCAGTCCCCCTCGCTCCGCATCATGGCCTGCACTAGGCCCGGACGCGAGAGGTCGCCATCGCCGATCACTTCCCTGAGGGCACGGCGGTGCTCAGCCCACGCAGGGCATTCCGCTACGGTGTGTTCCACCGTGTCCTCAGGGCGGTCCTCGCAGTGATGACACCCGGGCGTTTCCTCCCGCCCCATCAGACACAGGTACCTCCCGAAACTTCCATGTCCGGTGAGGACCTGCGTCAGGCGGTAGGTGAGGACGCCGTAGCGTCTCTCAAGCCACTCCTCAAAGAGGGGACTTACCGCTGCAATGGCAGCGAGCCCAAAATATCTAGGCTACTGGCCTATGCACTGTTATGCCAGTTTACCGTTTTTGGACGTGGAAAAAACTCTTCTAAATTCAAATGGGTTTTGTTTTTAATTCGGTTAAATTATGAATTTGAAACTCTTTGGTTTGAACGTTTTTCTTTGTTTATGACAACTGTCATTTGTTAACTTGAATCAGATATTTAGACAATTAATAAAATATCCAAAATAACATTGTTTACATATCACACTTAATATCTTCAAGCCGGAACTATGCAAAAATGAAATGCATAAGGTCTTCGATTGCTTTGCCGAATTAAATAATAAAAATGCTACCTCAATAAACCGGTCCACCACCATTTTGACCGCAACAGTGGCATTCGACTTGATCACTCAGTAAAAACTTCCTACATGTACACGTATTAATTAAAATACACATACAAATTATAATTGCACAGTTATTAATGACACAAACACTATATTTTTTATCACAATTCTTACCATTTTAAAAGGAATTTTCTCAGATCTCTATAAAAAACGACTATTTGTATGTCGGAACACAAAAAAATGTTTTTTTGAAACGATTGGCGACGTGCGCCATCCGCGGCGGTATCTGTAAGAATGACAAAAGAAAATCATAGCAATAATCTTAGAGGTCAAGTTTACGATAGCCACAAGAAAGAGATGCAAGATTTTCAAAGGTGGTGTGAGGGAGATAGGTATATGTTGATTGGTTTGTCGTTAAGTGAGGGTGCGCGCACGCAAACCTGTTAGCAATGATCATCAAAACTGTTATGGAATTATGTATAATTAAATGCAGTGTGCGTACATAGTTATATTTTATGGAGTATATAACGATTTTAGTTCTTCAATCGTCTAAGAAGGAAATATACATAGAAAAATTAAGATGAATCACATACGGAACGTATGAATAAATACCATCATATTTACATACATACATATGTATGTATAATTTGAAGCGCTGATTCGTTAGACATTCCTTTGTAAATACATAAAGTTAAGCAACCTTTATCGCGGTTAATTGTTGGATGGGTCATCAGTTTTTTACGAAATAACATTTTATTGACATCGGAATATCTTGGGTCATGGTTACTTCAGTGTTTAAGGAAAAATTTTATCAATATTAAACCTTAAGTTTGTTTCATATATTATTCTCCGGGTTACCGGTGCCGGGTATCTGGTGGCGAACGGTCGGCCGATATTAATAACCGATTTTAAACTAAATTTCCTAGATTTAGGTTTTTCTCAATACAATGCATATGCAATGGGGCGTCCATAAATTACGTGAGATATTTAAGGGGGGAGGGGGTAGACTCAAATCTCATCTATCTTCCGTTGGTGAGAGGGGGCGAATATCACGTAATTTTTTTTCTGATAGAAACAAAAAAAGGAGGGTTTAAAATCTCACGAAATCTTTCTACCAGAAAATAATAGTGTCACACGTCAAATTTTACTATATACTCTGAAAACTACTCTGAGAAGAGAAACTGAGACCAACATAACATAACATCACGCTTTTTATCCCCGAAGGGGTAGGCAGAGGTGCATACAGAAGAAACACCCACTTTTCACTAATCATGTTATGAGTCCCATGTAATAGGGGGTGAGCTTATTGCCATATACCGGGCACATTTCCAGACTCCGTGCTCCTACTGAGATTTTATTTAAAGAACCCAGTAATACTTTGCCCGACCCGGAAATCGAACTCGAGACCCCTTGCCCGGCAGTCGCACTTGCGACCCTTCGGCCAACGAGGCAGTCATGACTGATTGATACCAACTAGGTCAAAATTAGGTTTAACTAAATTTTCAGTCCCATGTAAAATATTTTTAATTAAACCCATACTATATGTGTCGTGGGGGCATTGCACACTCAGATATGGAACAACATTTTGTGAATCATACAAATAATCGTTTCCTAAATCGACCTGTACTGTTAAAAGTTACTATAATAACATTGTTGAATTATTAAGTAATCCCATATTTACCTCTATAATGGCACACCAACTTTACTCATAACTTAAGAACTTAAGGAAAATGAAAGAGAAGTTTTTGCTCGTCACTCGGAACTATTAAATCATCGATGCGTGTACTCATAATAAAGTGGACAACAAAAACTACATGTGGCATGTGGGTAGAATTTGAAAGAATAATCACGGTAATATATTCATACATTTTTTTTTTTGTTTTTTAAGGGGGGAAAATCATCGAATGACTGCTCCCGCCTGGGTGAGGCGGAAGGGAGTGTCAGACTCTTACTGACTAAAAACCACCCCGTTCCTTCTCCTGCACGTCGAGCCGGAGCCCCGGTTACCCGTTAGGTTCTCCGCGACTCCGAATATATTCATACATTAGTGTATCTCGGCCGCAGAGTTAAATACCTCGAGCCTCTGTACCCTGTCCATGGTATTAAGCTAGACGCACCATAGGTTTTTGTGTGTTCCTAAATTCTTGTTGTGTGTCGTAGCAAAATAAATTTTTTACTTTCTTTCTTTCTTTGGTGTTGCGGGTGTCCATGGGCGACGATGATCGCTTACCATCAGGTGATCCATCTCCTCGTTTGCCTGCTATTTCAAAAAAAAAAGCTGCGAGGTACGTAAACATGCGTTAGGGCTGCCGTCTCCAGCATTTTAATTAAATTTGCCTTCTTTCTGTGTCTATTCACTTTGTCGATTGTATATATCCTTTTTTATATAAACAAATAAAATACTTTGTATATTGAATAGGAAGTGTTCAATAAAAATGTGTGTTGTTTTTTGATTGGTAGATTTAGCTTTAAAAAGCATGTTTTTGTTTGAAAAACACATCGGGCTTGTAAATTTACGACCGAACAATATTTGAAAAAGAAATGACAACAACAGCACAATATATCCTACTCGTCATATTAAATACATAGGTATGTCGAGCTGATTTTTAGAGAAAAATCGCCCTCGTATTGTTAAAAAAAACAACACATCGTCCGTTTGTGGCTGCGGTACAGCAGTGATTGACTGCGCCCCGAGCGCACCCCGACATCGAGGCGCGTAGGTAGGTATAGCTCGCATTTCGTCCGTTTCTATGAAGTTGGAATACTGTATGATATTGTTACCGTGGTATAATTGAGTTATGACCGTTAAGGTATGATTCCGAACCACGCTGCACGCAGCAGTGCTGCCGCGACACTATTGGTCCCCATACAATTTCTATAAGTATACATATATGAGATTACATTCCGAGCTAGGCAGCAATGTCGCGGCAGCAATGTAGCGGCAGCACTGCTGCGCATCAGTGTCACCCTACCGCCGCGACAGACCAGTAGTGACGCGTCTGCCGCTGCAGCAAGTGTACCTACACATTCACTGTGACGTAAATTGACAACAACTTTTGCTACAATTTCGTCAGCAATTAAACTATGAATAAAACTGAACTGCTTTTTATTTAAACGACAGTACTCTCTGAATTTTACGTCGTCACTCATCAAATGGTTTTTAATCAGCGTCTTGTAACATCCTTCCCATTGTCTGCTTTTATAAAACGAATCTGTTGCTTTTCTTTTACTATTGGTATAAAGCAACAATAAATCATCGTCATCTTCTTCCTCTTCCAAAAGTAAAAATAAAAGTTGGTCATCAAACGACATCTTGTCAACTCAAAGTAAACTAACGAATACACAACAACGCATCACCGTGAACAGAGCGACACTGCAGCCTTGGTCGGAATCAGCGCGGCAGTCAGCACTGCGGGAACACCACTGCTGGTTGTTGCCGAGTTCGGAATCAAACCTTAATTGCCTTATTGTTTAACACGTTAACCGCCACCTCGGTCACTGGTGACTAGTGGTGAACTTCAACAGTTTTCAGTCGGCAGTCAAAGGCTTAAATAGTCGCAAGCTTGATTACTGAGTAAGGAGTCATGGGTTTAATAATAAGTTTGGATTTAGATTCGTTTTAAGGTGATATCAGATTGTCAAAATATCTCTTGTGGAGTCTACAATTGGGTAGTTTCCAGGGTAAGAACATTAAAAATCTAATTAGTCCGTCAGTTAGATAATGAAAAAGTATTAGATACGTATTCTTTTATTTTCTCTTATAAAGTTACAATACTTATATAAAATGGAGTCATGAAACAGAATTAAATGAAAAGTCCAAGATAGTTTTAACAATAGGTAATAGTTTAGGTATAAAAAGAAGGGATATAGTGAACGGTGTGGACACCTTATTAAAACTCAACGTGGGAAAAGTAATGCTTTGTGCATTCCCGTATTCTAATTCTTTGTCACACTCTAAAAATAAACACATTGGTGTACTGAATAGTACATTACACCAACTGACATGTTGTCATAGTGACAAACTTTTATTTTTTGATACTAATAAGTTTATTAGTGATTTTAAATTGACAGAGAAAGGTATGTACCTTTCAATAAGACAAAGACAAACTATTGCTATGCTGATAGCATTTAATATTAACATTGTTATAAATAATATAACAATTACTAGTTGTAGGGACGAATCTGTGCTGTCTAGGCAACCTAACAGTACTATGATAAATTTTAACTGTAACAACATTACTTTAACTAATAATACTAGTTTAAACTAGATTGTAAGACAACAGAACATACCATCATAGATAATGTTAATAGTAAGGTATATTCTGGCAGTATATTTAAGACTAAATATAAAAATATATCACATAAGTATAAACAGAACAACTTGTTAACACTATTAAGTCAAAATATACAGGGCTGCTCATCAAAATTACTTGAAATAGAATTGGTTTTAGAAAAATTTAAGTATGATATTATTTGTATAACTGAACATTGGCTGAAGGACTATCAAGTAGAATCTATTCATTTTGAAAACTATTGTGTTGGCGGCTGTTATAATCGTCAAACAATGATACATGGTGGTAGCCTGATCTTAGTAAAAAATTCAGTAAACTATAAGGTAAGACAAGATATTGCATTACTATCAATAGAACACACAATTGAGTTGTCCTGTGTTGAGCTGGATAGGTATATTGTAGTATGTGTTTATAGGCCTCCTAACTTGCAGAATCTGAATTCTTTTAGTTCAGTAATGGAAGATGTATTGCAAAAAACGTGCTCCAATAGTAAATATACCATAGTATGTGGCGATTTTAATATTGATCTCTTGGAAAGAAATTCTAATAGTACTAACTTGTTAAGCCTCTTTAGATCTTTTGATTTGTCTAATGTTTTCCTGGAACCCACCCGAGTAACTTCCACCTCGGCAACATGTATAGATAATGTTTTTTGTAACTGTGATTATTTACATAAAGACATTGTAAATATATTACCATCTGATCACAGTGGGCTAACAGTAAAGTTTGACACTATCCCAATTATACAAAAAAGGGAAATTATGTTCAGACAAATCACGGTTAAAAAAATTGAGTCATTTAATAACAACTTAAGTAATGAATTATGCGGCCAAATATGTGATAGTGAATACCCAAGTGAGATTTATGCCAACTTATTGTCCATTATTAAAACACAGTTTGATAAAATGTTCCCTTTAAAACGTAAAAACATTGAATGTAAATTTGTATTCTGTGACTGGGCTACACCAGGTATTCGTAAAAGTAGGGGAAAGTTGTTTGAGCTTAATGGTATGAAAC